GGTGTGTGATGTTCCTCCTTTCTGTGTCCAAGTGTTCTCAACTTTTGTTCAATTCCCCACCTTGACGTGGAGAAAAAACCATGCGGTGTTTGGTTTTTTCTCCTCTGATAGATTGCTGAGAATGATGGTTTCCACGCTGCCTCCCATGTCCCTACAAAGGACATGAACTTAATCCTTTTTTATGGCTGCATAGTATTCCCATGGTGGTATATGTTGCCCACAATTTTCTATCCAGTCTATCATCTGATGGACATTTGGGTCTGAATTCCAAGTCTTTGCCTAATTGTGAATAGTGCTGCAAATAAACCATATGTGTGCATGTGTCTTCTTATAGCAAGCCATGATTTATAATCCTTTGGGTATGAGTTCCCCAGATAGAAAAGATGGCTTGGGGTCCAATGGTATTTCTAGTTCCTAGATCCTGAGGAAATCTGCCCACAACCTTGTTTTTCACACAATGGTTGAACTTAGTTTACAGTCCTACCAACAAGTGTAAAAGTTTCCTTTTTCTCCACAATCTCCTCCAGTGACCTGTTGTTTCCCTTGACTTTTTCAATGGTCTCATTCCTAACTGGTTGTGAGACGGTATCTCACTGTGGGTTTTTGATTTGCATTTCCTTCCTGATGGCCAAGTGATCGATAGCATTTTTTCCAATGTGTCCTGTTGGTTTGCAATTAAAATGTCCTTCTTGAGAAGTGTCCTGTTCATATCCTTCACCCACTTTTTTTGATGGGATTATTTCTTGTAAGTTTGTTCTAAGTTGTCTTTGTAAGATTCCACTGGACATTAGCCCTTTGTCAGATAAATTAGAAATTGCCAAAATTTTTTCCCCATTCGTAGGTTTGCCTGTTCCACTCTGATGGTAGTTTTCCTTTTGCCTGTGCAGAAGGCTGTTTAGTTTATGAGATCCCCATTTGTCCAATTTGGCTTTTGTTGCTGTTGCTTTTGTGTTTTTAGACATGAAGTTCTTGCCCATTCCTATGATCCCTGAATGGTATGGGCCTAGGGTTTTCTTCTAGGGTTTAGTGGTTTTAGGCTTAATTAGCAATTAAAGGTCCTTTAATCCATATTGAATTAATTTTTTGTATAAGGTGTAAAGGAAGGGGACCAGTTTCAGGGCTTTCTAATATGGCCTAGCCAGTTTCCCCAGCACCAATTTTTTAACATAGGGGCAAACCCATTTTCCGCTATTGCTGTGTTGAGCAGTGGTTTGTAGTTCTCCTTGAAGAGGTCCTTCACATCCCTTGTAAGTTGGATTTCTAGGTATTTTATTCTCTTTGAAGCAGTTGTGAATGGGAGTTCACTCATGATTTGGCTCTTTGTTTGTCTGTTATTGGTGTATAAGAATGCTTGTGATTTTTTCTCATTGATTTTGTATCCTGAGACTTTGCTGAAGTTGCTTATCAGCTTAAGGAGATTTTGGGCTGAGATGATGGGGTTTTCTCGTTGAATTATAACATCCTGGATGTTCGGTGGTGTTATTCTTGTTGTAAAGTTGTCTAAACTCTTATTTCCACAATTTTCATAAAATCAATAAGTGGCAGAGCTAGGATTCAAACCCAGATCTCTGAGGCTATGTGCTCAACTCTTATGCTGTTCTGCCCTTGCCTTATAGGGTTTGTGAGATCATTCATCCTGCTTATTTAGGAAGGTTCTCATTCACACAATTCCCCTTTGTTTTCGAGGGGCTTTTCTTCCAGACATGTGGGTTAGGTTTGAGTTTCTGGAATCTCCTGCTTTAGCATCATCTGTATTTTCCTTAGGCTTTCTTGAGTACATTTTAATTTGGTCCATGAAACATATTTCCTCTCTTTTTGTTTTTTTTTTGGTATGAGTTCATTTGAAAGCCTTTTTTTTTTGACATAGTTATTATCTTTTGAATTTGTTACTACTTTTATTTGGGGTATTATTAGTCTTTGGCCCTCTTAAGTATTCTCATTGCACTGCCCACCAGCCTTCTCGTATCCTCTTTTCCTTTACCTGTCTCCCTCATCATCTTTTATCTTCCCTTGTTTGTGTTGTTTTATGAAGAATTTGCCATCCAGGACTTACTTTCTTCTCTCATATCCATCTTAAATGTCTTTTTTTTTTGGAGGGCGAGCCTAGACAGCCACTTGTTTGATGAAGTGGGGAGTTGAGTAATCAGAAGGACCACTGGTTCCTACTGCTGTCTGATGATTGCAGTGTTTTATTTTAGGGTGTAATATGTTGGCATGTATGCATACATGTGTGCATATATATGTGACATTCATTTGTTTTTAATTAGGGTGAAAGCACCAGATGGAAATTCTGTACCCTCTAGTCTAATTTTAGTTTAATATCTTTGGGGTGTAATGCCTATGTGTTGCTTAGTTTCTTCAGATTAATTTTCTGTGTTTTTCTGCTTTGAAGATTTTAGAACTTGTAAACAATAGAATCTTCCAGTCCAGGATTCGGCACAAGAAAACTGTATGGCACATCCAGTTCACAGCCAATGAGAAGACACTTATTTCAAGTTCTGATGATTCTGCAATTCAGGTGAGAGGGAGGTTGAACTCTTAACATATTTAATGCTGATTCTAAAATGAACACTATGATTATGTCTAAAATCTGATGTATATTTTAAGCACATTGCTTTGGGCATACATTCAGATTATGCACATGGGCTTAGATGATTGGTGTTTCATATTTTTCTGTGGGTGAGACAGACAGTTTGTCTTAGAACCCTCTGTTGGAAGGGTGTTTATTTTGAAAATGAAGGGTTTGTTTACATTTTCTTGCCTGCCTTGGTATTTGGATTTGTATCAGTAAGTATACTTTTTGCCACATTTATGTAATTTCTCTTTATTTTTCTTTACAGTAGTAAAATCCAATGGAAATCATTTCATTCTTTCCTTTTAAGAACAAGATGTTTATTACAGGAATGAAATTCTGTGAAAAGAGAATAGTTTGACATAATAAAGAATTGTGGATATGGAGGCCTAAGCTTACTATATATTCTTTTAAAATTTACTTGATTATTAAAGTCCCAAAGCACATTGTTTTAAAATTCAAATAGTTTTACAAGATTTATTATGAAAAATAGACCCTTTCCCCCATTTCTCATTCTCCAGAGGCACCACTTTTAGCTTTTAGATGTTTCTTTTGATATTACCTTCATGCCTCTGTATGGCATGCTCATAGTGCTCTTCTTGATTTTACCATTTGACAAGTTACCTACCGAATTCCCTACAGGAAGATGCCGCTTTTTTCCTTCTCCCACCTGTCCTGCCCTCAGCTTATGTGCATGCACCCGTTCACAGACACTCATTTATCAATCCATTTATCCCAATTATGACGAAATTTTGTTTAGATCCTTCCTGTTATTATGATCACTGTGTACTAAGGGTACTGTGAATGCGTTTTTTGTCTTAATGCAGTGTAGGAAAATTTGACTTTTGGGTGTAGTTGGAGATTATTTTACACTAAAACTTTGAATACATTGCTCCATTTTCTTCCAAGTTCCAAAGTTCATGTTGAAAAGTCTGAAGCCATTTTGCTGCCTAATCTTTCTCTCTGGAAGATTTTAGGGTATTCATTTTGTCCCCAGAATTTTGAAATTTCCTGATGATATACTGTGGTGTTAGTTTTTATTAATCGTTTTGGACATTCAGTCTTCCTTCTCAATTTGGAAACCTATGTTTTTCAATTCATGGAAGTTGGATTATTTCTTTGATTCTTTCCTTTTTGTTCCAGTTTGCTTTTTCTTTTTGTAACAACCATTATTCAGATGTTAGATCTCCTGGACCGATAATCTAGTTTTCTTTTCCCACATTTCATCTTTTTATACTGTGCTTTCTTTTCTTTTCTTTTCTCTTCTTTTTTTTTTTTTTTTTTTTTGAGGTGGAGTCTCATTCTGTTGCCCAGGCTGGAGTGCAGTGGTGTGATCTCGGCTCACTGCAACCTCTGCCTCCTGGGTTCAAGCAGTTCTCTTGCCTCAGCGTCCTGAGTAGCTGGGATTACAGGTGCATGCCACTATGCTAGGCTATTTTTTTTGTGTTTTTTTAAGTAGAGGTGAGATTTCACCGTGCTGGCCAGCCTGGTCTTGAACTCCTGACCTCATGATCCTCCCGCCTCGGCGTCCCAAAGTGCTGGGATTACAGGCGTGAGCCCCTGCACCTGGCCTACTGTGCTCTGTTTTCTGGGAGTTTTCCTCAGTTTTGCCTTCCAGCCATTTTATTGAGATTTTCATTTCTACTATTATATTTCTAATGCATTAAATTCTTATTTTGTAGATAGAATATTTTATCTCTCTGAGGAGATATACACACAGACAGGTAAATAAATATATATAGAAATTACACACACATACATGCGCGCACACACACACATATGTGTAATTTTTTTTTTGTTTTTTGAGATGGAGTTTCACTCTTCTTGCCCAGGCTGGAGTGCAATGGTGCCACCTTGGCTCACCGCAACCCCCACCTCCCAGGTTCAAGCAATTTTCCTGCCTTAGCCTCCTGAGTATCTGGGATTACCGGCATGCACCACCACACCCAGCTAATTTTTGTATATTTAGTAGAGATGGGGTTTCATCATGTTGGTAAGGCTGATCTTAAACTCTGGATCTCAGGTGATCCACCTACCTTGGCTTCCCAATGTGCTGGAATTACAGGCATGAGCCACTGTGCCTGGCTTATATATATAATTTTTTTCCCCATAAATTTTTATTTTGCTGCATAGTTGCTGTTCCCTCCAAGTTGCTTTTTTCTGTTTGGTTGTTTTGACCTCCTATTTTGAAGGCTTCCTTAGCTCTCAGTGGTATTGGCTACCAGAGATGTGTACTAAACAACTGGCTGAAAGCTCTGTGTGTTGACTGAGATCTTCTCTAAAAGGTGATCTGAAAGGGGAACCTTTATTGTGAGTATCTTCAGGTCTTTTGTCTTGGTCTCCTCAGATTCCTAGAGAGGAATTTTCTGGTCTCTTGCCTGGAGGATAAACCTGGCTGGCAGGTTCTTAGAGCTAAGTTGGGGAAGAGAACAGGAAGTATTAATAGATGTTGGATCTCAACATTTAGTATGTAAACCTTCCCTTGATCCCTCGTTATCAGAATTGTAATTCTACCCTGAGTTATGCTGGTGCCCTTAAATTCCGAGATTCTTCTTTCTAGTTTGCTGTCACTGTCTGTCTACTTTCTTCCCTTTTTTCTCATAGTAACTTTGGGATTCAGCAGCAATTCTTTTCTTTTTTCTTTTTTTTTGAGACAGTCTTGCTTTATTGCCTGGGCTGGAGTGCAGTGGTGCAATCTCTGCTCACTGAAACCTCCACCTCCGAGGTTCAAGTGATTCTTCTGCCTCAGCCTCCTGAGTAGCTGGAATTACGGGCACCTGACACCACACACAGCTAATTTTTTGTATTTTTAGTAGAGACAGGGTTTCACCATGTTGGCCAGGCTGGTCTTGAACTCCTGATCTCAAGTGATCTGCTCACCTTGGCCTCCCAAAGTGCTAGGATTACAGGTGTGAGCCACTGTGCCTGGCCTTCTTTTTTTTTTTTATATGAAATCAAGTTTCCTAAACTCCTTGGAGGAGTGGGGAGGTCCAGCATTTCTAGCTTCACAGGTCTGCAGCTCCTTCTCTTGTTTTCATGAGGCATTAAAAATATGGCCTTACTGGGCGCAGTGGCTCACATCTTTAATCCCAACACTTTGGGAGTCTGAGGTGGAAGAATTGCTTGAGGCCAGGAGTTAGAGACCAGTCTGCACAACACAGCAAGACCCCACCTCTACAAAATAAAATAAATTAGCCAGGTGTGGTAGTGCATGCCTGTAATCCCAGCTACTCAGGAGGCTGAGGTTGGAGGATCACTTGAGCCTAGGAGGTCCAGGCTGGAGTGAGCTATGATCATGCTACTGCACTCCAGCCTGGGCAACAGAGCAAATCCCCATCTCAAATATATAATGGCCTTGTTCTTAGGAGATCTCTTTGCTCCATCTCCTTCCCTCACAGTTATTTGGACCTTCTCTTTCTTTTGTTGCCCTTATCCTTGTTATACTCCATTTGGATTCTATTCCCTGTGGTTTCTCCTCATTGTAGGGTTGTCCTGGTTAATTTTATCAGCTCACAAGGCTCACATTGCTCCAGTCCTTCCAGACTGTACCCAGCCCCCTCACACTCAGTGTCTGCTACTCTTCTCTAGTTGGTCCATTGCACTTTCTGGTGAACACCATGTGGCTATCAGGATTCTCTGCCTCCTAATTCCTAATACTTATATTCTTAGCCCCACCCTCATTTCCTCCTTTGGGTATACTTAGTACCTTCCATTTTTGAGCATTTTGGGAGTTCATAATGCCGATTTTGTTGCTTTAGACTTTTTCTTTTCTTTTCTTTACTTTTTTTTTGAGACAGTCTTGCTCTGTTGCCAGGCTGAAGTGCAGTGGCACGATCTCGGCTCACTGTAGCCTCCACCTCCTGGGTTCAAGCGATTCCCCTGCCTCAGCCTCCTGAGTAGCTGGGACTACAGGCACGTGCCACCATGCCCGGCTAATTTTTTTTTTTTTTTGTATTTTTTTAGTGGAGATGGGGTTTCACTATGTTGACCAGGACGGTCTCGATCTCTTGACCTTGTGATCCTCCCGCCTCAGCCTCCCAAAGTGCTGGGATTACAGGCATGGCCACCGTACCTGGCTGCTTTTGACTTTTTCTAATGCCTTTAGGATTCTGTTTTCTTGACTTTGCTGAGTCAGTTACCATTCTCCTGCTTTCTAGCCTCCCACATTTTGTTGCTGTTATCTCCTTTCTCATTCTTTTGACCTTGCCATTTTAGTAGAGCTTTAGAAGTGAAGGAGATAATGCATATGTTCAATGGAAGCTATTATATTCTTTTATTTGTGTATATATATTGCTTATGGTGGCAATATTTAATTATATTGTTAAAAACGATTTTGGGAAAAAGATCTTTTAATGTTATGTCTGTGTGAGTCCTAGGAAGGAGTATGATTCGAATGAAATTTGGCTTCAGTGCAGAAACTTATTTGTTATAGGCTCCCATGACACTGGTGTTCTAGCTGTAAAACTCAGTGTAATAGTCACCTTTCTTCCTCTCCAGATGTCTTTGAAATGGGTAAAACTAAAAACTACATTTGATGACGTTCTTTTGAGACATTGTATACTATGTAGTTTTCTATCAAAAGTTAAATTCATAAGGTTTTTATGACCAGCTTGACAATTTCAGGTATTCTCAGCTAGGGGGAAGAATAATTTCTAGAAATATTTTTAGAAAAGGAGTTAGATTATATTTAGAAATATGATTATTATATTATATAAATAAGTAGTTGTGTTTCTTCCTCTTTTTCTGTTCTACTCAGAATACTTCTTACATTTCCAGTGTTTTAAATGGAATAAAACTCTGTAGATATTTTCAAGAAATGACTGGTTGGGTTTTGTTTTCGTTTTTTAAAGTTTTTGTAAATGATTATATGGAGGTTTGTTTTAGTCATCTTTGTATCCTCAATGCCTGGAATGCAGTAAGGGTTCTGTAAATCTTTGCTAAGCTGAAGTTACTGCCAAAATTTGAAGAATCAACTCACCTGATTATCGCTCTTAGGATTGTGAAAATTGAGGTCTACTTTGGTAGTTTTTGATCCTTTACCTTGAGGTAAATAAAGGCCAAGTATTACCCATGCTTACATGAGCCAGTATGTAAGACTATGTTAGTTCTTGCTGGTATGAAACGTTTCCGGCTGGGCGTGGTGCTCACACCTGTAATCCCAGCACTTTGGGAGGCCGAGGTGGGTGGATCACGAGGTCAGGAGATTGAGACCATCCTGGCTAACACGGTGAAACCCTGTCTCTACTAAAATATACAAAAAAATTAGCCAGGTGTGGTGATGGGTACCCGTAGTCCCAGCTATTCAGGAGGCTGAGGCAGGAGAATGGCGTGAACCCGGGAGGCGGAGCTTGCAGTGAGCTGAGATCCCACCACTGCACTCCAGCCTGGGAGACAGAGCAAAACTCTGTCTCAAAAAGAAAAGAAAAGAAAAGTTTCCTTAGCATTTCTACAATTTAAATTTTATTCATATAGCTGAAAAAATTCTACAAGTATATATACACTGCAAACATAGTCAATGATAGAGACATCCCCAGACTCAACTTTTACATTTGACTAATGGTGGTGGAAGTTTAGTGGTATTAAGGTTATTCAGTTAGCACAGTATGTTCAGTCCAACAATAACAACAACAACAAAAATCACTCATCATCATTGCCTAGTCAGAAACCTTCTGTAACAAAAGCTGCAAAGGCTATTCCTAATCTGCCCTCAGTGGTTGTCAGATTCTTGATTATATCTGCTTAGGAAGGCTGTCTGAGTTCTTGATGCAGAGGGCAGAAGTAAGATACTAAGTTAGAAATGAACATTGAATCAGGCAAAGCTAGAACAGGCAGTGTCTGTAAACTAGGAGGAGCTGTTCAGCATAGCCATTGATCCTCCAGTTCAGTAAAGCCCGGAAATGGGGAGGAGAGAGCCAGGAGGTTCCTAGTAGAAATGGACTAAGGTCTTTTATGCTTAGTCACATGGGGTGTCCTTCCTCTCTGGTCTGATTTGGGAAGCCAGAAAAGCCTCCATTTCTCCCTCTTCCCCTGGCATATCTCATTGGGTTCTTAAAATTTGAAAATTACTAATTCATTCTCTTTAGAATTACTCTCACTTCCAGTTTGTCTTCTAAAGTTCTCTTGCTTGCATGCAAGACCCTATGCTCCTGATATCCTGCTTCTGTGAATGAGCATTCTGAGGCAGAAGATGAGATCTGAAAGCCAGGGCTTGGTGGGGAGGGCGACTGCTAAATGTGGTGGTAAAAGAAGTAAAAAAAGGGGAAGAAGAGATGTCATTTCTTTTAAGATTTTGCCTAGGTCTGATTAAAGATATTTCTGCTGTTTAACATTGGCCAGTAAAAAGCTAGACTCAGAATGTTACTCATATGCATACCTGTAGTGGTGGCTGCTTTTTCTTTATCTTTTTATTCTTTTGGAGCTGGCCTGTTTGCCCATACCTCAGAATTTTGGCTTCATCAGGCCCACGGGGCTGTTTCTTTGGATACCTTCCCAACCTTTTTTCTCTTCTGTTTCTTCTGCATCTCGTATGCTCTAGTTGGATGGAACCATGAGCAGGCCCCTTTTCATGTTTCCCTGCTCCTATACTTTAACTCCAACATTTATTCCCTTTGAAGAACCCTTCTCAGTTTGTGAATCACACTTTCAACCCATTCCTCAAGCCTACTTTGAATATGTTATCTCCACCAAATTTTCTCTAAGCAATTACTTTTTTTGACTTTCACAGAACTTTTATCTCTATCATTGTATTTTATATTGTAGGATTTTTTTTGGGTTTCTTGTATTTCTCATTTTCTTTGCTAAACTCTTAAGTTTCTTTATGCTAGATCCTTGTTTGATTCATATTTGCTTTGCATATAGGTACTAAATAAACATTTGTTAAGTTAATCTGAAGTCAAGTATTAATAAAGCTCTAAATACAGTTGCTTTCATTTAGTAATTAAGAGATGCCCTTTACATGGACATAGCATAAAAATAAACTTCTGTTCTGTGTACCTCTGTGTCTCAGATTCATTTGTATGCGTATTTTGTGCTAGTTACTCATGTTATTTCAATCCCCCCACACCTTTCCTTATGTCTGAGGAGCTCCTCCTGAAGCTGCACGTGAAAAACAATGCCTTCTCACTTCTGTCATTTTGAGGATTGTATTGGGGGATAGCTGAGATATTTGAACCTTGGAAACTCTGTGTTCTGTTTTGAAGCTGCTTTGATCAACTGACCTTCCTAGGCCAGCTTCAGTTGAGCCAGGATCTGTAGACTTCCCCAGCTTGTAGGTTCAGAAATCTGTGACTATGTAATTAGGATAATTTTCTCAGGAAAATTTAATCAGATGGTGAGCTCACTGGCATATTGTGTGTTCTTTTTTTCTTTTTTTTTTTCTATCTTCTGGTATAATTAACTGTTCTCCAAGCAACGGAAGAAAACAAATTTTATTTAGGAGGAGAAATATTTTATTTTGCCTCTAGTCAATTTACTTAACCCCAGCTTCACTCTCTGTCTGTAAAATGTGGACACCATAGTCTTCTCTGTTATTCTTCTCTGTTTTACTGAAATGCCGTGTGAGTAAAAAACTTTAGACAAGAGAATGTACACTCTGTCCACCCCTCCAATGAGATAGGATCGGGGGAGGATTATAACAGACATATTTCTTTCACATTCAGGTATGGAATTGGCAGTTGGAGGAATATGTCTTTCTACAAGCCCATCAGGAAACAGTGAAAGACTTTAGACTGTTGAAAAATTCAAGACTGCTTTCTTGGTCATTTGATGGAACAGTGAAGGTAATTTGAAGTATAAATTTGTTTTTGAAAATGTATTCTCATATTGCAGTGATTATATTGAGACAGCCAAAAGCCACTGAAGGCTAATTACTTACAATAAAAATTTTTTATTTTTCTCATGCTTGTTTTCTGTTCATTGCAGTCACCTACATCTGCTGTGTTTTAATGAGCATGTATACTGTTAGTCACATTTAAAGTAAAGGGGTCAGAACAGCCAGTGTACTAAAACTCGTTTTATAGATCTGTCTTGTAGCTGATTATGCTTTTTAATATAAAATGTTCTTAAAAGTGTCAACCTCCAATTTTTTTTTAAGGTATGGAATATTATTACTGGAAAAATAGAAAAAGACTTTGTCTGTCACCAGGGTACAGTACTTTCTTGTGACATTTCTCATGATGCTACCAAGTTTTCGTCTACCTCTGCTGACAAGACTGCAAAGGTAGGTCAATCAGTTGAAACCATGCATAAAACTTTGGTAGTGGTTATGTATAATAAGTCCAAATAATATATACAACAGGACATAACAGTTGCTGTCTACATGTCTGTCCCATATTTTGTGATCTTTTGGACGATGTCCATTGGCATTTAGTTGGTATCAAATGAATGAAATGAAATACATTGAGGACTTCCATAAGTAATCCTTATGGATTACTTTTTGTCTATAATCAGATGCAACCTCTACTGCATACTGTAGGCAATGAAAATCATTGAAAGGGATTTACATTTAATTATACACTGACAATACAATTTTAATATAATTAATGTAATATAATTGACTGTGTCTGAAATCACATTCTGGTGAATGATGCTGCTTGGTTGGGGACCTCAAGTACTCCCTTCTCTCCTTTTTTTCTCCTTCTACCAGTCTTTATAAACTATAAACCTTGGAATCGTCAGGGACTCCATCCTGTCTTTTGTGCTCTGTTGATGACTCTTTAGTGCACCTTAGAGTTATCTTCTCCTCCTTGTCACCACCCTGAAGAGCATGCTTTCCTCCTCCACCACTGGTGGACTGTCCCAGCATCCTGCCTCTAGTCTGCACCTCTTCCACGTTATCTTCCATACCACTGCCTGTATCTCTTGTTGAAACACCTGTTACCTAATGGTTTTTAGGCCAACTACTTAGCTCATCACCGTCTTTTTCTGCTATATTGTTTCCTCTGTGCCAGCCAACTTTCCAACTTCATCTTTTTGTGCATGCTGCTACCTTTGGTTTGATAAACCTTCTACTGTTTTACCTTGAAGCATTATGACTTATCCTTCTAGACCTAGATTTGATGGGAGCTCTTTTGAAGCGTTTCCTGACCCTCAAGCAAGGTTAGCTGTTCTACCTCCAGTGTTTCTAGTACATTTTATTCATTTGTTAGAACATTTACTTCATACAACTGTTCACTAACTGTTCGTGAGCCTGTCTTCATGACTAAACTATAAACTTTTCAAGGATAGTGACTGTAGCTAGTTTATCTTATTGTACCACTAGTTCTAGCTCACAGTGCTTGGAACTTGGTAGTTTTCAGTATGTGGTTGCTAAATAATGTTGACAAAACCAAGAGACAATATGGAAAGGAAAAAAAAAACAGCATTTGGCTGCCAAGAAGTAGGCTAGTATAGTGACTAACCTTTAAAGATTACTTGTCACATCCTAGTAATTTCACTCTATATAATCTCATTTAATCTTCACAGCATAGGTACGACTGTCCTCATTTTACAGATGCAGAGTATGAAGCTATAGAAGCTTATATGAGTTGTCCTAGTCACAAGAATCTAGTGAACAGTGGAGTTAGGACTCACATTCAGGTCTGCTTCACTCCACAGACTGCTCTTAGTTGATTCGGTGTTCTTCCATGTAGGTCTAAACTAAGGAAGGAGTGACATTGATCCTTGAGCTGAATTTAACTTGAGTAATTAAAGGGAATCTCAGAAAAATTAACAAGATTGCATGCTGGAACTTGGGCATCTCATGAAAGTTTATGAATTGCCAAATATTAGAATGTCCATGTGATTGAATTTATGGCTGAATAGCACTCAAGGCAGGGTTTGCAGATGCTTATTTTGAGTGTATGTACCATTGCTAAACAATCCTAATTGCCTTCCAGATCTGGAGTTTTGATCTCCTTTTGCCACTTCATGAATTGAGGGGCCACAACGGCTGTGTGCGCTGCTCTGCCTTCTCTGTGGACAGTACCCTGCTGGCAACGGGAGATGACAATGGAGAAATCAGGGTAGGGTGTTTGCTGACATGAGAGCACTGCTCCTCGTGTAGCTTGGGCTAGCACTCTTCACAGTGGGGACCTTTGTTCATGGGCCAGGGAAGCATAGTCCTGAAGTTCTGGTTGGATGAGGCATTCTTTTTATTTCTTGTGCACATTGTATTCACAGCTGCACTCCACTGCAGAAACGGATTCATTTTAGAGTTAGAGTGAAGCATTCCCTGTATATGTGAGGAGGCAAGTGCTCTAGTCATTTGCAGTTCATTCTCTGCCATTAGCTTGAGAATGATTCATCTTAATTCTTGGACTTGAACCAAAGGTTGTTTTTGGTAGCAGAATTTGAGGAAAATAATTTTGTAAATTACGGTCTGGATTATAAATGAATTGCAAATCCTGCTGTTTTCTGGAAAGAAAAGATCTCTTTAGCACTATACCCATTTGATAGCCATTTACAGTGTGGTTTGTTGCAGTCCTCTGTGGACTGCCTGCCTGTTAAATCGTGTAGAGGTTCACATTTCTGTCATTGGGGGGCAGCGAAGGGCTCCTTATTGAGTCAGAGGCTGCATGATAGGCCAGTTTTTATTGCTCTGCAGTGCTTAAGATATACATACAAACCATGCCAGTTTTATTTAGAAAACAGTCTATTTTTTTTAGATATATAATTTTGACTTTTAGAAAACAATCATTTTACGAGGCATAGAATGTTGTTCTCTCTGTGTCTGTGGAAATATAGTACCATATGGAAAGTATTGCATGCTGAAAGCTTAGAAATTATGGAAAAGGAGTCAATTGACTTAGTTGTGTCAGAAGAATTGGGGAGCTGATTGAAAAAGTTTGGGCATTGGGATGACTACTTTGGTAACCCGTATATATGAGGAAGGTGGGGTTTTCCCCCCTTTCATTACAAAGGAGGATTTAAAACTCCAGGAATAGGTATATAGTGCAGAAGACTAGAAGAGTATACAGTTTGCAGGAATAGAGGTGTTATCAGATGGGCTTTCTAGGGAAATTAAGATTCTTCTGCTTGAGGACTAAGTAACCAACCTTCTCTCTACCAGTCACATAAATGTGTGTCAGCTGAAGTGGCAGGGCTGCTTTGGAAATGTTCATTTTGCTCTGAGTTCGCATCTTTGGATGAATGTGCTCCTTTACCAGTTATGAGGCAGTGTTTCATTTTTTCAACCACTGCAGGAAAAAATTGTCTGTCTTAAAATTGTGTTATTTTAAAAATTTTTGTTGGTACATTAAAAAAATTTTTTTCTCCCTGATTATTCAGAGTATAGGAAAGTTATTGATTTTTTTATGTATGTGTACTATCTTACTGAACTCTTTCTAATGAGTTTTTCCATTTGGTTCTCTTGGATTTCCTAGGGAGAGATTTGCAAATGATGATTTTATTTTCTCTTACCATTTATGCCTCTGTTTCTTTTTCTTATTCTGATGTACCTTTATTTGAAAAATTGGAGCACTGCTTATATATTAAATGTCACTGGAAATAAATGGCAATATTAGCATCTGGATAGGATTGTTTATAAAAGTCTAGTAAAATAATTTTAGAATACATATATATGGACATATATATGTTTTAAAACTAGAGAAGCTTCTGGATAACTCTGTTAATGAATTGTGTATCATGTTTACGTAGATATGGAATGTCTCAAACGGTGAGCTTCTTCACTTGTGTGCTCCGCTTTCAGAAGAAGGAGCTGCTACCCATGGAGGCTGGGTGACTGACCTTTGCTTTTCTCCAGATGGCAAAATGCTTATCTCTGCTGGAGGATATATTAAGGTAAGAGTTTCCCAAGAACTGTGAAAGAAAATAATAGCCTATATCATACTTTCCAAGCTATTTTCACTTCCTGTTTCTCAGTTGGGCCTTTTACAACCCAGCAGAGTAAAAAGGCTGCTACTCTGGAGGCTGAGGTGGGAGGATAACTTGAGTCTGTGAGGTCAGGGCTGCTTTGAGCCATGATTACCCCATGGCACTCCACCCTGGGTCGCAGAGCGAGACCCTGTGTCAAAAAAAAAAAAAAAATCTGGCAGTAAAATGAGTTTGGTAACTAAAAAAAGAACAGAAAAAAATATTGAAAACAAAAAAGAACCAGAAAAAAACTTTAAAAAATCATTAAAAGCCAGGCGCGGTGGCTCACGCCTGTAATCCCAGCACTTTGGGAGGCCGAGGCAGGCAGATCACTTGAGGTCAGGAGTTCGAGACCAGCCTGGCCAACATGGCGAAACCCCATCTCTACTAAAAATACAAAAATTAGCCAGGTGTGGTGGCGCACGCCTGCAGTCCTAGCTACTTGGGAGGCTGAGGCAGGAGAATCACTTGAATCTGGGAAGCAGAGGTTACAGTGAGCCGAGATCATGCCATTGCACTCCAGCCTAGGCAACAAGAGCAAAACTCTGTCTCAATAATTAATTAATTAATTAATTAATTAAAACGGAAAAAAGAAAAAAAAAGGCAGTTACGGTTATCTCCATTTTGTAGTGATGAAACAGATCCACAGGACTACTTTCCTCAGATCTTGGGGACGCGTCGGTGACAGTATTAGGGATGCCCTCAGTCCAGAGCTGTCATTACCCCATACTAAACTTGGGGCATTAGAATGACTAGCAAGTTGGGTGTTTAACTTAGTTCTGTTTTCCATGTCATTCACAATTAACTATGTTGGTTGAAAATCTTTAAAAAAACATATTTTTGAAATTTCTTCAGTAATAATAGCAGCAGTATATTGCTTTATAGTTTACAAAACGCTTCACTTCCCTCATCTTACTAGCCAGCTTTGTGAGGCTTAAATTTCATTCTTAGTTTGCATGTGAGGAAAATGATTTTCTATGGAGGTTATAACTTTCCTAAAGTTACATAATTAGTGCCGGGTGTGGTGATTCACACCTGTAATCTCAGCACTTTGGGAGGCCAAGGCAGGCAGATCACTTGAGGTCAGAAGTTGAAGACCAGCCTGGCCAAAATGGCAAAACTCTGTCTCTGCTAAAAATAGAAAAATTAGCTGGGTTTTGTGGCAGGCATCTGTAGTCCCAGCTACTTGGGAGGCTGAGACATGAGACTCGCTTGAACCCCAGGGAAGTGGAGGTTGCAGTAAGCTAAGATCGCACCACTGTAGTCCAGCCTGGGCAACAGAGTGAGACTGTCTCAAAAACAAACAAACAAAAATAAAGTTACATAATTAGTAAATAGAAAAGCCAGGACTCAAACCCAGGTCTCTGCCTCTGTTTTCTCTAGCAAATTGGCTTTTTAAAACTTATTAGCGATTGAGGCCACAATTTGAATGTGTTGTGGTGCTTCAAGGTCATATTTTTGGTGTTTTTTTGATGCATCTTTTATGTATCCACTCAAAAAGACTGTGTTGAATGTCCAGTGTGTGCTAAGCTACTGCTGTGTGGCACAATGTTTATGGCTTGGTTCTTGCCTTTCAGCAGCTTACAGTCTATGGGGGAAGCAGGTGGTAAACCAATAAAGTCCCTAAAGTTTAGAAGGGGTCTGGGACATGCTTTCAAGAGCAGGTGGAAGCACAGAGGAGAGGAGTGAACAGACCAACCTCAGAGAGTTAGCAGAGGCTTCACCTAGAGGGGAATGCTTGAAGTGAATCTTTTGAATAGTGGCTTACTTATAAAAGTGGTAGAAGATGATACTCTATATCAGCGGTCCCCAACCTTTTTGGCACTAGGGACTGGTTTCCTTGGAAGACAGTTTTTCCACAGATGGGGTAGTGGTGGGAAGTTGGGGGCGGGCAGTGGTTTCAGGATTAAACTGTTCCACCTCAGATCATCAGCATTAGATGCTCGTAAGGAGTGTGCAAGCTAGATCCCTTGCATGTGCAGTTCACAGTAGGGCTCCTGCTCCTATGAGAAACTAATGCCACCGCTGATCTGTCAGGAGGCGAAGCTTAGGTGGTAATGTTCACTCACCAGCCGCTCACCTCCTGCCCTGCGGATGGGTTCCTAGAAGGCCACAGACCAGTACTGGTCCATGGCCCGGGGACTGGGGACTCCTCTATATTGGGCTGATCACTTGGACATTCTGGAAGCTTTTTCATTTAAAATTGGTTCCTAATAAGACCTTATGATACTGTTATTTCTTACTGAAAACATTTAAGTGTAGGAGATGATTCTCATTAATAGTCTAAGGCAGGATAACTGTTTGGAAATATTTGAATGACTGGTGTTTTGGTTACATGAGACCCACACGGCTACAATTTTACCACCATAAGAATCTAGCTTATAAAAAAGATAAATTAGAGGACAGTTTTTAGCTTTATGAAAGGTTATACTAAGGGGTACAAAAATACAGATAAAGGGAGTAATTTCTAGTATTTGATAGTACAGTAGGGAAATTATAGTTAACAATGTATATTTCAAAATAGCGAGAATTATTATAATGTTCCCAACACAAAGAAAAGATAAATGTTTAAGGTGATGGATATCCCAATTATCCTAATTTGATCATTACACATTGTATCACATGTACCCCTAAAATATGTACAGCTATTATATATCAATAAAATTTTTTTAAAAAAGAAAGGATGTGTATTATCCCTTAACAAAGTTTCATTGAAAACACAATTCTGTTTACAAAATGTTGCATCAACCTACATCTTTATTCAGTTATTAGGAGATCCTGAGAAATGACCACCAATTGTTCTTCTTCAGTGTAAAGATAAACTGGAACTCAGTCTGCTCTGGGGATAATGCTTAGAAGAGAGTCATTGCTGTCTGTGTTGGAAGCTGGGGAGTCTTTGGCTATATTAGCTGCTGAAAAATTTGACTGCTCAGCTTTGACACCAAGTTTCTAGAGACCACATCATTTGATTCTCTGACTTCCACAGAATGCCATTACATAATTGAGAGTCTGGCTTATAAGATGTTAAAAAGATCAGTGATCATATTTTCAGAATTCTTGGGGAACCTTGAAATAAAGCAGCAGAATAGGTTTACATACTATAGATGTTATGTCTTAAGGGTGAAAGAACTTCTAGCCTATATATTTAGTTTGTATATTTAAATGACAATCAGGCTGCCTTTGCTTTCTGGTTTGATTACTAGCTTATTCAACTGATTATGATATAACCCAGCCTGCATCTACCCAGCATGATAATGAGACTATCCAAAAGCACAGAGCAAATTAAAAGTAAAAAGGAACAGCTGCTGTAGTGTCCAAGAAAATAGGCCTTTTGAGCCTGTTTACTTTAGAATCCAAGCTGTATAAATTGAATGCCAGTAAGATAAAGAAGGTATCCAGAAGCTAAAAAGTTCTTAACTTCCAAATTATTCCTAAGTGAAAAAATAATTTAGTTGTTTGCCTGCATTATGCCACAGAGTACATACTGAATGACAAGAAATTCACAATAATTCGTGCACATGAAGGGAAAGCTGATCTGAAGTATGGAATGCATAGTGATAAATGGTGGTGTGCCATGACTTGGTGGCAGCAGAGTGTAATGGTTGGGAGAGTGGGCTTTGGCCTTGAGATAGGCTGCCTGAGTTCAAAGCCTGGCTCTGCCACTCATTAGCTTTGTGACCTTGCACAAGATTGTTTAACTTCTGTGCCTTGATTTTCTTATCTGTAAAATTGCTGTAATGATAATACCTAACTCATTTCAGAGATTTCCCATATACCTCTTTCCCCCACAAATACATAGCCTCTCCCATTATGAACATCCCCCCTCCAGATATGTGCATTTGTTAGAATTGATGGATCCACATTGACACATCATTACCACCCAAAGTCCACAGTCAGGATTTGCTCTTGGTGGTGTACATTTTTTGGGTAGTTGAACTAAGTGATCACTGAGGGCCTTAGTGACTGAAAACAAATGAATCTCAGGTTGGTGGAATGTGCTTGATTACATTGTTATTTTACAAAGCAAACTTGTGAGTTCTGGAAAATCCCAAGTTAGTGCATGCTGCTTCAGTGAGGTTTACCAAAGTCCATTGGGTATACTTTTAGCAGTTATTATTACTAATAGTGAACATGCATACTTGACCCACTCACATGGGAAAGACAGAATGCTAGGTACTGCCATAGGCACAAAGGTGGGTGAGACTATTATTGTGTTCATAATACTCAGGATCATGGTGAGCTTGAGGCCTTTTCAGAAGAAGTTTACGTGTATTGTCTCTTGCCCCCATTTTAGCTGTGACATTGATGGGTAAACTTTATGATTCCAATTTTTAAATGAATATAAATATTATTAGCAAATTCAGTGATTGGGAAGGAAAGGAAGGACTTGGCTAGAGCCCTTGCTATGTTTGAGATGTTCAATGTTTGCTTAGTAAATAAGTAATGTAGATTATTTTATAAAGAAACTTGGTCAAGGGCTTTTGCATCACACCTGGGGAAAGGGAAGATTCATTGGAGAGAACATTGTTTCCTGTAGCCCATATTATGAATAGTTTGGGTCTCTGTCAGCATACCAGTCTGTGTCTGCAAAGGGGCATTTGAGTGAAGAGAGGGGCAATCTTCTGCCCATTCTCCCGAGAAGAACATGCAGACAAGAGAGTTGAGTCTGGCCACTGCCGTAATGGACTCTGTAGCTTCCTGTCTGCAGCTCTCAAGCAGGCTGTGTGTTTCTCCAGCATGACTCACAGTTGGAGTTAGGTGTAGGTGGAGCAGTGAGGCCATCACTAGTGTTCATCAGGAAAAGGCTGACCCGGTTGAACAGTATATTCAGCATTAAACCCAAGACATTTTCCTCCTGTTTGCTTTGAGTTTGGTTGCGGGGAGGACATAGGGCAGAGGATCTGCTGGCGCTATGAATTGTCACACAGTGTAATTATCAATCTAATGAGAATTTTATTTTTCTCTGAACAGTGGTGGAACGTTGTCACTGGGGAATCCTCACAGACCTTCTACACAAATGGAACCAATCTTAAGAAAATACATGTGTCCCCTGACTTCAAAACATATGTGACTGTGGATAATCTTGGTATTTTATATATTTTACAGACTTTAGAATAAAATAGTTAAGCATTAATGTAGTTGAACTTTTAAAAATTTTGAATTGGAAAAAAATTCTAATGAAACTCTGATATCAACTTTTTATAAAGCTCTGAATTGTTTTGCAGTATTGCATTCATTACAAAAGTGTTTGTGGTTGGATGAATAATATTAATGTAGCTTTTTCCCAAATGAACATACCTTTAATCTTGTTTTTCATGATCATCATTAACAGTTTGTCCTTAAGATGCAAATGAAAATGTGAATACATACCTTGTTGTACTGTTGGTAATTCTGTCTTGATGCATTCAAAATGGTTGCCATAATTAATGAGAAGAATTTGGAGGAAATTTGTATTTTAATACTGTCTGTATTTATTACTGTTATGCAGGCTGTGCCTCAGGGTAGCAGTGGTCTGCTTTTTGAACCACACTTACCCCAAGGGGGTATTGTTCTCCCAAATACAATCTTAAGAGTTTTTTTGCACTCTTTAAATTTGCTGTAAAAATATTGTGTCTGTGTGCATAGTCTGCGGCATTTCCTTTAATAGACTCAATAACTGAGTCTTGGATTTAGCAGGCCCCATTTTTTTTTTTTTTTTGGGAGACTGGGTCTCGCTCTGTTGCCAGGCTGGAGTGAGGTGGCATGATCTCAGCTCACTGCAACCGCTACCTACTGGGTTCAGCCATTCTCCTGCCTCAGCCTCCCAAGTAGCTGGTACTACAGGTGTGCGCCACCACGCCTGGCTAATTTTTGTATTTTTAGTAGAGACGGGATTTCACCATGTTGGCCAGGATGGTCTCGATCTCTTGACCTCATCATCTGCCTGCCTTGGCCTCCCAAAGTGCTGAGATTACAGGCGTGAGCCACCATGCCTGGCCAGGCTCCTTCTCTTTTAATGGAGACAGGGTCTTGCGCTATCACCCAGGCTGGAGTGCAGTGGCATAATCATACCTCATTGCAGCCTCAAACTCCTGGATTCAGACAATCCTCCTACCTCAGCCTCCCAAGTAGCTGAGACTACAGGCACGAGCCACCACACCCAGTTAATTTTAAAATTTTCTTGTAGAGACAGTGTCTCCCTATTTTGCCTAGGCTGGTCTTGAACTCTTGGCCTCAAGTAATCCTCCTGCCTCAGCCTCCCAAATTGTTGGGATTATAGATGTGAGCCACTGGCCTGGCCTTCAGCAGTTCTTTTTGTGAAGTAAAACTTGTATGTTGGAAAGAGTAGATTTTATTGGTCTACCCTTTTCTCACTGTAGCTGCTGGCAGCCCTGTGCCATATCTGGACTCTAGCTGTCAGTATTTGAGTTGGACACTATTCCTGCTCCCTCTGGTTTCTTACATATCAAACTTCTTACTTGAATGAACCTGATCTTTCCTAATCCTCACTTTTTTCTTTTTTAAAAAGCAGTTTCTCCACTGCTAAATGTTAGTCATTGAGTTGGGGCCAATTTTAATCATAAGTCTTAATAAGATTTTTCTAAGATATGTGAAATAGTAAAACAATTTTCATCTAATTCCATTTACTTTTAAATGAATGGCATTGTGAATGCCATTCTTTTAGTGAATTTCAGGAGAGTTCTCTGGTTTTCTGCGTAGTTCCAGAAGAGTCACTGTAACTCTAGAAGATTAACCTTCCAAACAACCTATTTTCCTTTCCCTTTTCTCTCTTCTTCCTTTCCTTCCTTCTTTCCTTTCTCTTCTTTTATTTCCAGGGTTAATCAGGAAAAATCGCTTTGACAGGGGAAAAAACTCAGTAACTTGCTATTTTTGACCTCCTGATCAGAAACTTTAGCTGAAGCTTAAATCTAAAGAAACATTTTCTCTGAAATATATTATTAAGGGCAATGGAGATAAATTAATAGTCGACGTGGTTCCCAGAAAAAATAATCAAAATTCAAAGATTTTTTTTTTGTTTCTGTAACTGGAACTAAATCAAATGATTACTAGTGTCAATAGCAGATAACTTGTTTTTATTTTTGGTGCATATTAGTATAACTGTGGGGTAGGTCGGGGAGAGGGTAAGGGAATAGATCACTCAGATTTATTTTAGATAAGCTATTTAGCCTTTGATGGAACCATAAATACAGTGAATGCAACCTTTTGCATTGTTAAGGAGGCTTTTGTTTTTAAGTGGTGGATCTAGGAGCTAGTTTACAGGCTTACTGTGATTTAAGCAAATGTGAAAAGTGAAACCTTAATTTTATCAAAAAGAGTTTCTGTAAATGGTATGTCTCCTTAGAATACCCAAATCATAATTTTATTTGTACACACTGTTTAGGGGCTCATCTCACATATAGCTCAGAGCATAAAGTATTACCTTTTGGAATTAAAAGCCACTGACTGTTAAAGTGTAACAACATACATCAATTTTTTAAAAAGCCTTGAATGGCCTTTGTCTTAAAAAGAAATGAAGAGCCGGGTGCGGTAGCACGTGCCTGTAATCCCAGCTCCTTGGGAGGCTAAGACAGGAGGATTCCTTGAGCCCTGGAGTTGGAGTCCAGCCTGGGTGACATAGCAAGACCCTGTCTTAAAAGAAAAATGGGAAGAAAGACAAGGTAACATGAAGAAAGAAGAGACACCTAATATGATGGAGCTGCAAATTTCATGGCAGTTCATGCAGTTAGTCAAGAGGAGGATTTTGTTTTGTAGTTTGCAGATGAGCATTTTTAAAGCATTTTCCCTTGCTGTATTTGTTTTGTATTAGAAATTACATTGGACTTTGTATATATAAAATTTTTTTTACATTATATGTCTCTTGTATGTTTTGAAACTCTCTTGTATTTATGATATAGCTTATATGATTTTTTTTTGCCTTGGTATACATTTTAAAATATGAATTTAAAAAAATTTTTGTAAAAATAAAATTCACAAAATTGTTTTGAAAACATTTTTGGACTGTTTCATTCTTTGCTTGTCATTTATCTGTTGATTAGACCACTAAAGTCAAAGATTCAAGCTGAATCCATCAACCTTTCTATCTAGGCTTTATCAGCTATATGTAAATTCAATTCTATCAAAATTTTCTGAGTGCCTCCTCATTGTGTCTCTCTGATGGTTCCTGCCCGGTGTGGCTGGCATGAAGAAGATCCTGTAAAAAAGAGAATTCATTTATTTATTGACTTAGTTTGTTCATGCATTGGTTTAATAAATATTGAGATGTACCATGTGCCTGGCATTGTTGTAGGTATTGGGAATACAGGAGTGAGCAAAACAGAATTCTTGCTCTACAGCAGTTAAGGGCCAGGGAGAGACAGAAAAAGTAAATAAGTAAAATCTATAGTGAGTTCGGTGGTATGTACAAGCGGAGGGGAAGGGGTTACAGTTTTAGATGGACTGGCTCTTTCAGAAGCTGACACTTGTACAGACCTGAAAGATGTGAGGAAGTGAGCTATGCATCTGTCGGGAAACCATTCTGAAGGGTACAGCAGGTGCAGACTCCAGGGGATGGGTTGGTGTATTCTGGGAGCAGCCAGGTGGCCCATGTGGCTGGAGAAGGGTGAGTGTGGGGAGTCTAACAGGAGAGGTGGGCAGAAATGAATTGGGGTAGCACCAGAGGCAGCCTCTTAGGCCACAGTAAGGACTTCACTTTTGACACGGAGCCAGTGTAGGAGGTTTGAACAGTGGAGTGATATGATTTAAGCTTTAATGAATCATCCAGGCAGTGGGAATCAATTGAAGGGGGAACCAGTGAGAAGCTTTTGTAATCATCCAGACAAAATGAAGATGGGCCAGACTAGGGTGGCAGCAGCAGAGCTTGTGACAAGTTGGATTCTGGACATATTTTGAAGATAAGAGTTAATAGGATTTGCTGATGGATTGGATAAAGGTTGTGAGAGAGACAAGAAAAGAATGATGCAAGGTTTTAGCCTGAGCAACTGGAAGAAGAGAGTTGCTGTCAGCTGAGATGAAGAAGACAATGAAAGCAGCTTTGCGGACACAGTAAGTTTGAGATGCCCGTTAGACATCCAGGTGGGGATGCTGAGTAGGTGGGATGCAAGGCTCTGGAGTTCATGGGAAAGCGCCACACTGGAGGTAGAAATCTGAGAGTCATCAGTGAATTGATGATATTTAAAATCAGAGGACTAGATGAAATCAGCAGTGAAGTGGGTGTAGATAGAAGACAGGGGGCCCCGAGACTGAGTCCAGGGCAGTCTGGAGATCAGTGGGATGAGGGATAAGCCCAGGAGAGTGAAAAGGACCAGCAGAGAGACTAAGACTTGCAAATTAGTGTGGTAAGTACAGTGAATGCAGCAGGCATGGACCCCTTAACTTAGTGTCTTCTTGGCTGGAGTCCTTGAGCAGGCTGCTTATACACCCACCTATCTGTCCTCTACGCCTTGAGCGTCTATGTGCCACACACTGTTTTAAGCAGCAGAGGAAGCAATAAATAAATACATTTTAGTTGTTGAGAGATCATGGGGACAACAGATGATAAGAAAACAGGACAGTATCAGCAGTTGTCTTATCTGAAAAATGAGGATCCGTTTTTCCCTCTGGATTGTTGTAGGATTTAATGAGATAAAGCTTGTGAAGCACTTATTGCCTGCACTAAGACAGTGCTCAGGGGACATTCTGCAATGCCATTTGAGCCCCCTCCTCTTTGCCTGGCAACAGCCCCAGCTGCCATCTCTGCCTCCACTTGTGCCCCTCTGCATGATCTTTCCAGCGCACTCATCTGAGTCACATTAAACTTCTCTGTTTAAACTTTGTGTTTACACTTCTGTTTAAACCCTGGACCTGCTCCGAGTTCTCTTCTGTAGCTTTGTGTATGCTGTTTTCTCTATGCTGTCCTCTCACCAATTTTCTTTTTCCCCCTAACTCCCTATGTTTCACAAATTCTTTGAGATGACCCTCAAGGGCTGAAGGGCTGCCCTGCCCTCTCCTAGCATTCTCTTTTCTCTGTCATGGCTTTTCTTATTTTGGAATTGCTTGCTTATTGAGGTCCCCAGTAAATCATAAGCTCCTTGAAAGCCAGGACTGTACAGTCTAACATGAGCCTCGCATTGCAATAAGGGCCTCAGTAAACACTTGTTGGATGACTGGAATTCATCTCCAGAGTTCCATGGGATGAATCTGCCCATGTGTTCATAACACAGTCTACGTTCTCCCCTTCCATGAGGATATCATGAGACTGTCAAATGCAGTTGTAGCATATCACCAGCATTTTATCTTGCCGTTTTAGTTTGGCCTTTTTCTGTGAAACATCATTAGGGGAAAGTAAAACTTTACTTGGATAAAAGAGGCTTGCTACCAAATTATATAAAATGAATAAACATATCCCTGGAGTGTTTAAGTCAGCAAGTATGGCCGTCTATTATTCCACAAACGTTTTATATTATAATTTACTCACTGACCTTTAGCGAAGGAGAAAATGATTTTCTAATAATTCTTAGTCTCTGAAGATTGTCACTGGAATACATTCCTTGCTCATAACCACTCCCCTTAGGACCATGGATATCCTATACAGTTACTAAAACGCCTGAATTAGAAAATCCGCTGCTCTTGGGCTATGAGTTTAACTACAGAACTACTGTATATGCTCACATGAGAGGGGCAGAAGAAGGGGGTCGGTCGCATTTTAGACGCAGCAGAGACCAGGCCTTTGAAGTCATCTGGCACCAAGAAGGACTTGCTCCTGAGTCAAGTGATGTGAGAAAACCAGAACTTGGGAAATTCTCATTTCAATTAAGATTCAGGAAAACAAGTCGCTGGTGTTCACTGTAAATTCATTTATGAGGTCAGTCCCTCAGGACTGGGAATGCTCCTTATCACAGAGAAATGAATAGAAAAATCTGCCTCTGTAATTTCCATCACCCAGGGCTGGAATATGTAACTAGAAAGGGTGGTTGAGGCCTGAGTTTGGGCCTGAGTTTGGGTCTGGGGGTTCAGAGCAACTGATCAAACTGGAAAATACTGAGCACGTGAGTGGAGACTCCTGCTCAGTACCGAGGTGGCTGTTCTGAGGAACGGGAGCACACGTTCACATTCAATCAAATGTTTATCACTGCCCAACTCTCATTTATCTTCACAGGAGTTGAGTGGATCTGCAGACTGCAGCTTCAGTTTTTAAAGGAAGAACTAAACCCCAGCAGCTAATTGGTGACAAAGCCAGGGCTAGAATCCAAATCTGCCATTCTTTATAGACAGGCCAAGACTCTTAGGCTTGTAAGTCGCCTGTCAGCTACAACTGGAAGTAGAATACTCCTAGGTTTAGCGGCAGATGACATCAGCCTAGGGGTCATAAGGCTTGGTTTCACTAGCTAGGGAAGGTCATCCATTAGCTTATGTGATGGTTTTGGAGACGTTCTTATATTCACCTTCAATTAGCAGTGGGCCCTTCACTAAGCCCTTCACCTTGGGCTTATTGCCCTACTCTCTGTCAATTAACCTCTGGAGACACACCAAGTCTTTTAGAAGGAAGGAAGGAAGGGAGCTACTATTTTTTAAGGGCCTTTTTTGTGCCAAGCCCACAGGCTGGGCACTTTCCATACATTATTTAACTGAATCATAACAGTGCTGCAAGGTGTTATCTCTCTTTCATAGGTGTGGAAACAGATGCAGAGAGGTTAGGTTTCCAGGGCCCCACAGCAAAGTGGTGGAGCTGGGTTCTGGTCCACGGCCTTCTGTCTCTACTGGGTAACACTCCCTGTACCTTCTCATTGAAGCCCCTGGGCTGGAGGGTCCAAGAGCATCACTTCAGTTCTGCATTTCATTCATTACCCACATGCATCAGGACAGATACATCGCTACTAAGCTCTCAGAGAAGACACCAGATGCTGTCTGCTCCCAAGGAGCTTCTACTTTTGGTAGTCGGGTTAACTTGTATCTGTGCCTGTAGAGATTGCTCTTTGGAAAAAGCAGCAGGAACATTCTGATAGAAGGCAATGGACAGGAGAGGTGGGTTGGAATGAATTGGATTTGCCAGCACCTGGCCACTGCCCAACCTGCTCTCAATTCTCGGATGATTCAGGCATTGAGCAGGGAAGGTAGCAGAGCTACTGTTGCCTTCCCTTTGGAGAAGCCTGCTTCTACTTTGAAACTCTTAAGGGATTCATTTCAAATTAGTGGCAGGCCTGGGTTAGTGGATCTGTGTGCTTTCTTCTGCCATCTTGATTTCATCTCCCCCCTTCTCCTTTTCCTTTCATTTGAAAAGATGCAGCCCCTTAGAGCCTCACTTTCCTGATTTGTCAAATAGGGAGCCTAATGTACAAGGCTTTTGTGGGGCTTAGAAAAATGTCAAGAATCTGACATGGATCTCAATAAACAGCATAATAATTATCTTTTGTCCCAGTTACAAACCCCCATTCCTGTACTGCCCAAATCTCTATGATTTACAAATTAGAACCCTGCTGCTTCTGCTCCATGGCAGACACCTTGCTCCAGGCACCCTCCCCTGCCACCTCCTTCTCCTTATGGCCATTGGCTTTTAGGAGACAGACACTGCTTAGCGGGAAAGCTGACACCTGCTTTCTTCTGAACTATCCCAAACTTGATTCTCTTTGGGCAATGCATACACCCATCAAGTGGTAAGGAGGACTGGGAACGAGGGGAGAAAAGACTCTGGGCTTGTTGCTGGGGCCAGTAGGTTGGGAGTGTGGTGGTATATGTGTGGCTTTGGCTGTCATGTGGATCTAAGTTCAACCCTAACTACACTAACTTTCCAGCTGTGTGACTTCAGCAAATGGGTTCATCTCCTCAAGGATTCACTTCCTAGGGAGCCTTTAAATTTCCCCGGGTGATTCCAGTGTGCAGCGGAGGTTGAGAGCCAGCGCCCTCTACTCTCACCCCTGATGCCCAACCAAGTCATTGCCAGTCTCCTCCTTTAGCATCACCCATGGTGCTGCGATGTCTGCTGATGCAGCATGCCCCTTTGTGCCTGCTCTGCCCATAACATTCTCAGGAGCTTGCTGGGCAGCACAGATGTTTGGTGTGCATATTAACACAGCTGTGGGGATCTTTCCTGCTCAGGTTTGGTGGCTAATTTATAGAGCAATTCTGTCAGGATTATCATCAATCCCTCTTACAGGCACTGCTTTCTCTGTTCAAATGTCTCACCTGTGTGTGCTTGTGTTTGCCTTTTAGCTATTA